CTGTCATTAAACAATTGAAAAATATGACGTCTTGTCTGCTGTCAAAAATAAAATTTTGCAGGTTGTTGTAAAGTCGCCAGAGTTTGTCCATTTCCTAAATTTGATGACAAATACCTAATCGAAGATTAGATCTGTATTTCATTCCAGTTTAAATTTTTCTAGGGTTTATAAACGAACCGATAAGTGACAAATAGCAGCACGCAAAATTGTTTTTCCAGCGCCTTCTATTTGATATGATTTAGAAAGCGAGCACCGTAAACTAAAGTCAAAAGTTGAAAGTTTTCCCCTTTTTTCTACATACATACATACAAATTTTATATGGTTCGAAACAAAATAAAAAGATCTATCAAAACGTACAAAAAAATGTATACCATTTAAAAGAAACATCGATGACGTCATCACTCTCTACAGTCTAAAGGCGGTAATACGCCTAATAATCCTATATTTTTTTCTTCCAAGCTATTTCAAATTTGACTCATTATTATGACAAAATAGTGTGCAAAACCATACTTATCGTATCAACTTCGACGTCACCTGTTACATGGGTGTTGCACAATAATGAAAACGTAATATTGACAGTTGGTAGAAGGAAGCGCAAAAACAAACGCTTAGGTGGGGAATTCTGGAAGGAACCCTAAATAGTTTAGGTGAGAACAGCGCAGAGTGAAAAGTAAAACGATCGGTGTACGGTGAAAATATATAAGTAGTGAAAAATTAAAAGTGTTTAACCGGTATTAATTAGCAGGTAATTATTCTTTAAGTACTTTGTTGTTAATTGTTCTATGAAATCTTATCATTGTGATGGTTATAGATGTTTCATGATAATAATTCTGTATATGTTCAGCTTTCATTGTCTTATGCTTAGGGGCGTATATTTTTCTAAGGTAAAATTGTGATAATTATTATTAACGATTGCTCATCATTTATTACATGTTAAAAAATATATATATTGTCGTGACTACCCAGATATTGCAATAACAACTCCTTTGTTTCACATCTAACTTATTTTGCCATGATTACATTGTTCCAAAAACAAATAATAAAGCGTTTCTTGTGCTCACTTTATGTCATACGCATATCAGAGCCTTGTTGAATTTACTAACATTTTCGCCCGTCAGGAATGAATCTGTAAAAAGAATAATTAAAAACAAAAAAGAATTGCTAAAACAGATCTTCCGAAATCTCAACTCATAGCTGGATTACCTCGTATGGGACTCCAGTACCTTACCTATTATTGTTGTTATTATTATTATTGTTGTTATTATTATAACCTCTTCAGTTTTACTTGGAAGTGTGTATGTCTAATTTGAGTGAGATGACATTTAGTGAGAAATTAAATAAGTCGGGTGTTATTTATCATTAGCAAAGGATCTTAATTTATGCCTTCGGTTAGCGGTTGTTTTGTATTTATATTTGGGTAGTTAGAGCAACGATCGTGGGTTTCTCTGCCACGCTCTTTCTCCACAGGAGCTCTAGCTGAGCCTGGCACTAAATGGTTGTTAATGTTTTTGTTGTTCGTTCTATTTGTCACATCTTTAATTTGAAGACTGTTGTACGTAAATAATAAAGTTAGGTGTATTTACTCTGTTTTTGTTTTATAAAATTAAACCATACTTCCCCTCTTTAAAGTTAGTAGCCAGCGCCTTCCGGCCAATTAAAAATAGATGTATACAAAGTAGGTATCCCTTATGACGATCACGTATTTTTGGCCACAACTATGTCTATATTTTTTTTCGATCGAACCCGGGGTTGTTATACTACAATAGTGAATAGTGAAAACGGTATTTTTGCTAGATCATTTTTTAGAAAAGTACAATAGTTATTTATATTTAACCTCCCTTTGTTATTCCCGGGCTAGACTCTGTGGGGGCGGTCGGTTCTTGTTGGTTTCGCTTCTATGGAAGTATTGGATCCGACTATTTACAGAGGTCATTAAGGAACGTCTCAAAGGACCACCCTTGTCTGAGGAGCGATTCCGTCCGTATCGACCTTAGAACAACAATAAACACCGAAACAAACATCAGGGCGAGCTTAGGGGTTCTCATAGCGAGTCCGCCCCCATAGAGCCTAGACCGAGAACAACAAAGGCTGAGGAGGTGCACCGTGCAGTAAGTTTGTAACTGGCGGTGACCATATGTCTGATTGTCGCCGAACGAAACGCGGATTTTGTGCCACCAGTGCGCAACCGGCTTTAAGATACCCGAAGCGCACGACCCCGAGGACGATCTGACGGCACCACCGTCGGACGGGCATCAATCTAAATAACTTCATTTCATTTTCCCGACGTGTAGGTCTCATGGAAATGCGAGTACCGGGTTGGCGATTGCCGACTAGAATGAATCTATTGACTTAATTAGAATGGGAGCAGAGAATGTCGTGTGTCACGATCTCGGATGGTTTTGCATATCGCGTCGCGTGGCCTCCGCTCGAGACATCGGGGACTGGGACAGCCCCTTCTCGCCGTTTCCCCAGCAAAAAAGCCAAACAAAACGCCGGTTATTACTCTATTTGGGTAATTATATGGTCGTATGAAGTGGGCGGTAACAGCGACGAACCCAACTGCAATCTAAAAATTACTTAATAGCATAAAACAACATTGTGTTCATCGAAATAAATTACTACATTTTAAGTCTTCAAAGAAATACGTATATAGCTCACATAAAAGTTATGTATATAGATATAGAAAACTGACACAATATGCTAAATTGTCATAAACCTAATATGGTAATAGACGTTGGGGAATATGGTCAGCATGAATTGTATTGCTACTGGTTATAATGACACTCGAGTAAAAATTATATTTAGAAAGTGGTGTGTACATAGACCAAAATAAGGTAATATGGCAAATCGTGATAAGATTCAAAATTAGGGTAATATGGTAAAGACGTTGAAGAATATGATTATGTATTATCCACATAAAAAGTGACGTACATAGAGAAAACTCAGGTAATATAATAAATTGTAGAATTTTACCATTGGGGTAATATGACAACATTGTAAATTCTATTGCTACTGGTTATAATGACATTCAAGTAACGATTGTATGTAAAAAGTGGTGTATACATAACTAAACTAAGGTAATATGGCAAATTATAATGATTCACAATTAGGGTAATATGTTAAAGGAGTTGGAGAGTATGATGCACAATCCACATGAAAAGTGAGAAAACTGAGGTAATATGGTAATATGTCATAGCATTTAACATTGGGGTAATATGACAATATATACATATAGGGGAATATTGTCTGCTTAAATTTTATTGCTATAATTGAAATTGATTTAATTGATTGATTGATTTGATAAAAAACAATATTTAAACAGTGAGGAAACTGGGATGAAATGGCAAAATTGGAAGTAATGTAGGGGAATATGATTTATCACCCACGTAAAAAGTGATGTATATAGAGAAAACTGAAACAATATGGCAAATTGTCACAGGCTTCAATATTGGGGTAATATGGCAACAGACGGAGAATAAGTATTATCAGCTTAAATGGTATTGCTATTGAAACTAAAGTAAAAATAGTACTTAAAATGTGATGTGCATATAACCTAAGCTAATGTAATGTAAGTGGCCATATGATTCAAACTGGGGTAATATGATAAAGCCATTCGGGAATATAATGTATAACCCAAGCAAACAGTGGTGTACATGGAGAAAATTGAAGTAACATGGCAAATTATTATATAACTTAATATTGGTGTAATATGGCAATAGACATTGGGGATTAGTCAGTTTAAATTGCATTGCTACAACCGAAGCGGTTCTAATTAAAAACAATTTAATAGAACCAAAAATATAATATTTAGAAAGTGAATATTAGAGAATAAAAAAATGGAAGCAATATGGCAAGTTGTCATAGGACTTAACATTGGGGTAGTATGGCAATATACTTTAAGAAACATAGTCAGCTAAACTGTATTGCTATTGTTTATAATTGAAACGTAAAAATAATACTTAATACATAAAAGTGATGCGTAAAAAGTAAGTTAAAGTAATAAGGCAAATGATTATAGATGTTGAGAAAAATGATGTATAACCAACGTAAAAAATGATTATGCAGAGAAAGATGAGATAATATGGTAAATTGTTATTGTTATAGAATTCACAACGTTAGGTAATATGACAATAAATGTTGGTCAGTTTAAATTGCTATACTTGTAAAAATTGGTTTATCAAAAAAAAATAAATAAATAAAAATAGATTCAGAAGTCAAATGTACGTAAAAGCAAATTGAGGAAAAAAGCAAAGACGGAGAATATTGTGTATAATCCACATAAAAGTAAATTATGTCAGAATTAGGTACAGGGGAATAAGAAATGATTATAATTAAAATAGCTAATTGTAAGTAAAAATTAAATTGATGTGTATATGAAGAGTATTGGGGTAATATGGCAAATTGCCATATAAGATATTGGTAAATACGACCAACATAAATAACTGTATTACTACAATTAAAATGATTATTACTGAAATCAACTTAATAAAGAAATGACGAAAAAAATAACTTATTTTCCCACTTTATAAAAATTAATTCAATTTACTTATTTCATCAATTTTTAAACTACATTCCATTTCCATTACCATGTTTTTTCCTCTTGTCGTAAACACTTGCAATTTCTAATAAACATATATTTAATTAACAAATATATTCGGCTAATCACCGAATACACCTAACAATATTTTTTTAACAAATTAATATAAAAAATTCTGCAGATATTTGTGTAAATACTTTGTAATATTTCACAACTATTTTTTTTATTTGCGTCTCCACCGAAGTAATTTACCGAAAAATTTTTCCATATCCTATTTCTACCGAAGAACACAACACGTATGACTAACGGCAGTCGCTTCTCGTTAACGGTTAATATAAAGAGTAAACTTTAAATTGTTCGTCAATATTTTCGAAGAACTAATTGAAATAAATATTCGAGATGTCAATAAGAAGTCTCTATATATAACATCTCCCTTTATTTCGAGCTTCAGTTTGCCAAAGCGATTTGCAGATTTAAGTAGTTCTAATTTTGTGAAGTGCATTGATTCCTCCACGATGAAGTTACTTGCTGTAAGTAGTAGATTTTTATTAAATTAATGTTTTTTTTTGTAGTACTAGTAATACTTATTAAAATAAAAATTATCAATATATATTTCTAGATATAATTTATCAGTTTTTTTTTAACGAAAATATTGGTTAAATATTATAAACTATAATTGTGCTTTTCCTTAAAGAGTCAAAGATTGATTTAAGTTAATAGAAAAGAAACAGAATTTGTTATTAGCAATGAAAAAAAAAAAAATTTGAATCAAAATTTTTATGCCATTTTGAAATATTTTTAATAGTTTCAAAGTAATATTTCTCATGTATAAAGATATTAAAATTTTTAACAGAATCTCGAAATTTTTAATAACTGCAACTGTATTTGTTTTGAGAGGAAAAATAATAAAAATATATTTGTATATACAGAAAAAAAGTCAAATTATTTTTTATATTTCTTCAAAAATAGAGGAATTATTCAAAAAAAAACTGTTTCTTTTCTTTCTGTCCTCTTAAAATCATTACTTTTGTAGCGTTTTGCTTCATATATTCAGAATATCTGGTTTATCCGTAAATATTTTTTGCAGATAACTATTTTGTACTTTTTGGTACTGATACTCACGCTCGCAGCCGAACTTTCCTACGCAGTACCCATTCAACAGTACGTACCAGACGACCGATACGAAACCTACCAGACCGATGAAGACAACGAGGTGTTAACATCTAACGAATTAGGTCTTCAAGGTACTCGATCTGACGACACGTTGGTAGGTCCTGTAGCTTACGCAGAGTTTGAACAGGGACAAAGAGACAGAGAGATCCTTCAGAGCGACGAAGCTAGGAATTACTACAGACCTTACGTGAGATACAGGCAAATTTCTAAACGAAGGACCAGTGTTCCAGTAAACAGGAGGTACGATGAATACCCTGGATATTCGTTGTCTGGATATGCTAGCAATAGGGATAGATTTCCAACAGTGGCTTGAAGAGTCTCAAATTTGTAAAATAAGGCTGTTCATATTAGCAGACTGATTGTGATGGAGATACTGTATTTAATTTATTGCAAATATTATCATATGTATTTAAATTTTATGTCGTAGTCTAATAAGCGTTGTACTGATTATAATAATGCCTAAAATTCCTACTATTTTAGTACCTAGGTATTTATTTTCTGTTGTAATTAGTGAATAAAATAGATATATTCAAATATGAACTTTTTTCATTGAAATCCCTGTTACTAATTTCCCCATTTTTTTAACTAAATCTGTTTTGCTGAAATGACAAAGTGATGAATTTTGATCAGTAACATCTACGAGAAAGTTGCGCAACACTTAGTAGTACTTCATATGATTTCCATATACGAAATAAAGATAGTATTCCGGTTTTTGCATAAAAAATTATTGTTTAGAGCGAAAGAAACAGACCCGGCTTTGGTTTTTGTGCTTTTGTCGAAAACAAAGCGACCTAGTAAAGTTCATTTGAAAGAGTTTTAGGAATTTTTTTGAATTAGTTTAACATCTTTAAAATAAAGTAAAAGTACAAGAGCTAAATAATAAAATCCATATTTTTAAAAACTTTAGACAAAAAAAAAATAATCTAGTCATATTGCCAACACTTTTGACTTTGCTCTTTCAAAAATTCATTTTTTCTAAATGTTAAAAACATTTTATAAACAGTTTTGTTCAATTAATTCCATTTACAAGGAGACAACTTGAAAAAACATTCTTGAAAATTCAGAAATAGCTGAGCTCTGTTTATCGTGGCTATATTTCGTGTTATATTTTGTCAAAGGTGGAGAAGAATAAATGTTTCATTGAAAGATTACATTACTTATAGACTTTTTGCAATTATTGCAAAAAAAATTAAAATGATGTATTTGGACATGTCATAAATGTCTGTTACCGTTAGAATTTATGTTATGACAGATACTGTATAATTTAAAAAATAAATATAAATAATATTTACAACCAATTTTGGAAAATTCCCCGCCTTACAATATTATTTGTGAAATTAATATTAAAGTGTTAATATATTAATATAAGTTAAATTGTAGTCAGTATGTACCATTCCATTTTAGTGGAATTTTACACCTGCTTTCTAATTGATTGATAAAAAGAAATATTCAGCGAAATCTTCACGTAAAAAACACTTGTTTATTTATACAAAAAATAATTTAGTAAGTAGGTACAAATGGAAACATTCGTAAAAATGAAAGCGTGAATCATCAGAGTTGCTTTCTGGGATTTATTATATTTATATACTGTATTATACACAATCTTGATAATTGCTATTTTTTCATTATTTTCATAACAATTTTTCCAGCATTAAATAAATTTTGAATACCGTTTTTCTTGAGAATATTATGTTAGTACCTATCGAAGATTTCTAAGAATAAAATTTGGGCCAAAAGAAAGTATAAGTTTTTGAGAATTAGAACAGAAAAAAACAAAGGCAGGAAAAATCAGTTGATGAGAAGATTGTGGAGCCAGAACCTCCGCACACCGTTCGAGGGCATCAACTAATCCACATAGAAAAACAAGCACCGTTCCTTTTCCTTTTAGGTATTTTAGATTATCTACAAATGTATGTCTATGTGATCACTAAGAGATTTGCGTGGAAATTGGAAAAGTTTAAATATGATTTAGTTACATGCATAAGTGGCACACTATGATGCATATCTGTGAATACAAATGTTCCTTATACGACAAGGGATTAGAACGAATGCATTTATAAAAGTACAGGGTGTTAGAAATTTCACTACCTTAATTTTAAAAGACGATAGAATACACTAAAATAAACAAAAAGCCTTATATGACATGGGTCCTAAACTCAACCATTTCCGAGAAAAAAATTATTAAAATCTCCAACTTTATGTACAAAAGTTGGATTAATTAAGGAATATTGACATAACTGTGTACATAGAATACCATAAAATACAATGTTTATCATTTTTTTAAACTTTTTTATGCTTAATTTTAAAAAAGAATTAGTGTAATTGTAATAAATTTAAAATTCGATAAAATTTATATCGAGCAATGTGACAACGGCGCGGCAGTTTATTAACACAAGGTACTAAGGTGTCCAGCAATACGCAATTCAGATGGTATCTGGATTCGACCGTGTCGGAGTGTTTTTTGCGTACCACTATTTCCTTTTCTTGAGGCGTTTTCCAGCGAGTGCGCGAAAATTGGATTCGAAGGTGTTGTGTGTTCGTTGAAAATGGTGGTGGACATTTTGAGCATATGTTGTAGATTGTTTTGTACTTGTGCGTTTAAAAATTACTGAATTTTGCTTTTTGGTAAGTACCTAAATTATTTATTTTTGATATATATGATTATTTGGACGACGTGAATCTTTGGGTACTTTAATTTCATATTTTTCAAATACGTAAATACACAACACTTCGTACTACAAAATCGATACATTTTATTTTATTTATTTAAAAACTGGAAAACAATTGTCTTGAAATTTACTAAATGTTTCACAATAATAGTTGTTTACATTTTTTCCGTAGAACAAGTCTGACGCGTGTACATCAGCAGGTTAAGCGCTGTTGTCACATTGTGATGAAACTCCCCAACATTAATAGATACTCGCTGTATTTTGAAAACTGATTGCTCTATATCATTCTGAAGAAATGGCAGTCAAACTTCTTATACCCTGTATTAGGGTGGCCCAAGAAAAACGAATATTTTTTTCGTGACTCTTGTGATAATGTGTTAGTTTATCATGTTTTAAGAGGCCCCTCAAAAAATCAGCTCAAAAAAAATTTTTTAGAGATCGCTCAAGATTTTTAAAAATTTCGAGTCGTCAAAAATTAATTTTTTTTTTAAATTTTTTTTCTCGTTATTTTGTCATTTCCTAGGTTGAAAAAAATCTCGATTCTGAAAATTTCAAATCGATTTTAATTTCTAAAAGTCACTCATAATTATATTAACTTTAAAAGTAGTGTATCTAAAATGTTTTCGAGCGACCTCTAAAAATAAATATCAACGAATTAATAATTTTTTTTATTGAATTTGATGAATAAAAGAATAGAAACTTAAAAAATTTTTCGAGGCAAAATTTACTATAGCACTGTGAGTATCAAATATTTATAATTTTTTAATTTTTTAACATTTAAATGTCGTGATTTATTTCTATTCACCAAATTCAATAAAAAAAATTATTAGTTCGTTGATATTTATTTTTAGAGGTCGCTCGAAAATATAGGTACTCTACTTTGAAATAATAATAATAATAATTATTATTATTATGAGTGATCTTTAGAAACTAAATATCGATTTGAAATTTTCAGAATCGAGATTTTTTTCAACGTAGAAAATGATAAAATAACGAGAAAAAAATTAAAAAAAAAAATAAATTTTTGACGATTTTGGAAATTTTTAAAAATCCTGAACCTCTAAAAAATTTTTTTTTATTTTTTTGAGGGGGCTCTTAAAACATGATAAACTAACATATTTTCACAAGAAACACGAAAAAAAATATTCGTTTTTTTTGGGTCACCCTACCCTGTATAATACAATTTGATATACAGGTTTGGAAAGTCCCCATGGTACATCGGCTGTTACGTGAGAGCGATAAAGTAAGTCATAGAAATCCGTGCGATAGACAAGGATTGAAGACGTTTCATAATCTGAATAGTTACTCCCACTTCTAACCCGAAACGGGCGGTGACTATTCAGATTATGAAACGTCTTCACTATAGCCATCCTTGTCTATCGCACGGATTTCTTTACATTACTTTGTCGCTCTCATGTAAAGGCAGATGGACCATGTGGATTCCAGCCCTGTATGTAGTATTATACTGTTATACGATGTTATTCAGTATGCTAAAAAATATACTGAAATTATTGAAATGTTAATTTTAAAATGAAAAATGATACTAAAAATGTGATAATTTATCAAAATGCATAAGGTTCTTATATGCGCTATGATGCAAAGTACAAATATTTGCTGTATTTTTTACTTCTTGTATTGAATGTTTATCGTACTTTATAAATAAAAGAAGATTTCAAAAAACATTTCATTTGGAAATTTCCCATTTTATTTCATTATTCCAAATTGAATTACACAAGTTGAATGTAATCAATTTTTAATGACTAATTTGTTTATCGAAAACATTTATTTAAATTTTCCGCCATCTATCCTCATTCATATTATATTGCGCTGTTGCCGTTACTCCTTCGCGTTTATTATTTGGCGGGAGACACGATAAGTAAGAACTTTTAATGTTTGATAATTTATTTCTCTGTGAAATGTGAGGTAACCTACTCTTTTCTTTCTCTCATCTATTAATCAATGATTCAGGTAAAAGTCTATATTTTTTCCGTCTTATCATTTGCATTTTTCACCCGTAATTAAAAACAAATCGATAAATAATTTACAGAATTCGATTTCGCATTGCAAAAATAATACATCTCAATAATACGAAATTGGCTGAATTTTTTCGTAGGATCCGATCGTCCTTAATTTGTCATTGTCTATTTTCTGTAAGTATGTCGTGATTTGTTTCCCGCCGTTATTTTTGAAACGCCTAATACACACACCCGGCTGTTAGGCGAACGGTCCACCCCTAAAAAGATGCTTAGAAAATCAAGGTCACCGACCACGAGGAGAGGCCAGGATGAAACCTTTTGTAATCAATGCATTGAGTTATTGCGAACAAAAAACCTAAGTAACATCTTTGTGTCCGAGTGGCAGGTAATTTGTTATTAACAAAAAAATTGCAAAATTAAAATATTGCAAAAAAAACGCTCTGCAAACAATTTTCCGGGTTTAAAAAAAATACTACATTAAAGTATAAGTCTCGAAGATCATTTTGCGCTTTTGTACGTTCCGAAAGCTTTGGTAGGAGCTGAGATATGAATTTTTAAAATTGGCAACTTTTAGCCATTTTTCGACCTTTAATCGCCCCTAGCTCGAAAAGGAAGCGTTCTACGAAAAAATGTCAAGAGACAAAAAGTGTTTATTTTTGCCCAATTTACCTTGGAAAATTGTTTGCAGAGCGTTTTTTTGCAATATTTTTATTTTGCAATTTTTTTGTTAATAACAAATTACCTGCCACTTGGACACAAAGATGTTTTTTAGGTTTTTTGTTCGCAATAACTCAATGCATCGATTACAAAAGGTTTCATCCTGGCCTCTCCTCGTGG